GAGACAATATATATATACATATATATATATATATATATATATATGTATATATATATATACTTGCTGAGGAGTCCTACATGTCAAATATTCATTCGACGAGCAATGTGTTTGCTGCTCGACGCCTTGCACAGCCAAATCTGAAGCATGGTGCCACCATTTAACTCGGCACGAAGACGTGTTTCCCTCTTCACCGCAACACATACCGACCCAAATCACCCTCAATCCCCCAACCAGAAACCGCCACGCGTCCATAGGAAAACCAGGCGCAAGCACGCGGTCTCGTCACCGCTTCCGGACGCGCACCGCCCCGACACGTCCCTCCCTATCTATCTACTTCTTCCATACCCCCAACTGGCTTCCTGGCCACGCCATCTCACGACCATGCCCCTCATCTTAAACACCGCCGCCGCCTCCCCCCTCGTAGGTCTCGCCTCCCACCACTTCTCCAAATTCCCCATAAAGCCCCTTGCAACCTCTCGTAATTTCAAGCCCTTGTCCTTTCCGGCGTCGTCCTCTGCGCCCTCGCGTCTCCGCCGAATGAGTTGGCTCGGGAAGCTAGGGCTTGGCTTCGGCGGTCGAGGGTCCCCGACGGAGGCGTCGTCGGCGATCGCGCAGAGCCCCGACGACGACGTGCCGGCGGCGGGGCAGGAGTTTGCGCAGTTCGGCGCCGGCTGCTTCTGGGGTGTTGAGCTCGGCTTCCAGCGCGTGCCCGGGGTGACCAAGACCGAGGTCGGGTACAGCCAGGGGAACGTCCACGAGCCCACCTACGAGGACGTATGCACCGGGATGACCAATCACTCCGAGGTGGTCCGTCTGCAGTACGATCCCCGGCAGTGCAAGTACGAGGACTTGCTCGACGTCTTCTGGGAGCGGCATGATCCCACCGCTCTCAATCGCCAGGTTAATTCTTTTGATGCCCCACAGAACTTTTCTTGTTATACATTGGCAATTGGTGCTATCCTTGTTTTTGTTGTTGGATTGAGTTCACTGTCCATGCTAGTAGTTGATAGCATCCTAGTTGAAATTCGTCTCAATTTTACGTAGCAAGCACCTTTTAGTTTCAGATAACTCTCAACACGAATGCCTAATTTGAGGTAGCTTTGCTAAATAGCATCTCATGTTGGAGAGGAGTAAGCTCTATTGATTTGATATAACCACATACACTTGTGTGTCACAACACAATAACGGAGAAGAATCACGCTGGTTGTATTTGACCTAACGCAGCCCTCCATCTTTTTCATCCGGGGTTGTGACTGACATTGGCAGTGTTACACTTGTGTATCATAGTGATAGTTTGAATTTGTGAAAATACGCATGGTGAGTCGGAAAATTGGGTTGTGGTCAACAGTTGGGTACCTCTCCCTCCTATTGAATTGCTTGGTAGGTCATCGAAGAAATCAAGGAGCAAGTATGAGATTCTGGATTTCCAATCAAATTGTGCTTCTTCAAATGGATGAGTGTTCTTTGTATCTATGGTGTAGTTGTAGAACTTTAGAATGTGCTAATTTATATAGAAAGTTGACATTTTTTTTTATCTTATAGAAGTGCTAGTACAGGTTGTGGTTTTTTATATTTGTCGACTAAGGATGCTAGCTATTTGTCACTCTTGGTGCACATATCATTTGCGACGAGCATTTAACATAGAAAAAGTGTTATCCTTGTATTTGATGATTTAGAAGGTGGAAGCAAGCTGAAAAATGTTGCCATGATACTCTTATCATCTGTAGAGTAGTTAGTTTGGGATTAGCCATGGTTACATTAATGAGAGCATTTGAAGGTGGAAGCAAGCTGAAAAATGTTGCCATGATATTCTTATCATCTGTAGAGTGGTTACTTTGGGATTAGCCATGGTTACATCAATGAGAGCAGCCTTTGGATTTTAAACTTCAATCTATGTCCCCAAGGCAGTGTGAGGCATCAAGAGTTATCTGACAACCATAGATTCCAAAGAGATATGAGAGAAGGATTGGTTTGGTGTTGCTTCCAGATCGGAGCAGTCAGGTTCAGGATGAAGGAGGCAGGTTTGACTTATTCACTATTATTAATAAATAATTTAATTTATTAAGTTAATAAATTAATTATCTCATCATCTGGATCTTGATCTGAAAATAATAATGATGTCCTTAGGCCTGCTCTGTTAGATAGTTGGTAGTTTGATATGCGCATGTGGCTAAAAGCTAGATTAATGTTTAGTTCTACATAGTGCACCATGCCACATGCTCAACCCCTTTGTGCCGGTCCCACAATAATGGTTAGCAACTCTAAATTAAATCCCATTGGCTTTTGATCAATTTTGACCAAGAAATAGAAATGGTCAAGACATTATTTTAAAAAATTGAACAGGTATCTACCCTCACCTCACAAAAAAAAAAGAGTGAACACTAATTTTATAGGTTGAATTTGACCAAATTTCACTTTTTGGTCTTTGTCATTAGCCAGGACTACTCTGGCTTATGTTTGGCTGATCTTTTGGATCATTAGTCTTTACAAGGTCATTAGAGCTCGTGAATGATACATCCCCTGCTTTTCCATCACTCTTTGCAATAAGTTACTGAGGACTTGTCCCTTGAATCTAATAAATTGTGCACTGAAGGAGTTTAACAATGTGATCAGTCAGGAAAGAAACAAAGTCTGTATTACCTCTCAATTTGTTGACATTTTTTATTGATGTTATGCATTATGATATATGCAGCTAACAGCAAGCTCATGGGCTCAGTCTTTGTCTCGTTCACGTATGTGTTTCTAAGGTGGGATTACGAGTGCTGTTACATGAAGGAACAAGCTTATATAAAATTTCATATGTTCTGTGCTGTATTTCCTCTTTTAGGAATCAGTTCTGGTGTGCTCTTGAAACCTGACCAGACATAAATACTACAGTGATGTATCTTATATTTCCAGAAAGAGTCTTATTTGAAGTGTACTGCTGTTGTAGTTTCTTCAACAGTTCCTTATAGGTGTAGGTAATTTGAGAATTAGTGATAATATGGACCAGTGAACAAATTCTGTATCTGTCTTCATTTGCAGAATTACAAATTCGAGAACTTATAATGCATTGCAGAAATGCTTTCAAAAGTAGGTGCATGGTACTATATAACCTTAAAGAAATGCATTAAATCTTCTGTGAGCAGTATATTAAGTATAATTTGCATTCTAGTTGTTAAAATATTATATTTACAATTGTATGCAGGGAAATGATGTTGGGACTCAATATCGCTCTGGAATATATTTCTACACACCAGAACAGGAAAAAGCAGCCAGAGAATCCATGGAGAGGCGCCAGAAGGTCCTTAACGGGAAGATTGTGACAGAAATCCTTCCTGCAAAGAAATTCTACAGGGCAGAAGAGTATCATCAGCAGTATCTTGAGAAAGGCGGACGCTTTGGTTTCAGGCAGTCTGCAGCTAAAGGTTGTAGTGACCCTATTCGCTGCTACGGATGACATGGGTAATTATAATCAACCATCGAAATCTGCATGCCTGGTCGTTTCGGTCGATAGAGTTGTTGAAGATAACGAGTACTGCATGTTATGGTCTGTGTTATGAGGCTATGCCCTTCTTTGTAATATAATTACAACTTGCATATTCATAGTAATCCACACAACTCATCTGATGGTTCTCTTTTGATGTGAGCATAGCTAATGAATTGCCTTGTGATTATTCAAACTCTTCATATCGATTCACGGAACTCTTGGGAAATATTAGGATTATAAGTCACGGAACTCTTCGCCTAGTTTTGAGACCTTTCTGTGTCGGTTTCTGTCCGTGGTGTGGTGTGGGATCCGATAAGGTAACATCTCTGTTCATCGAACTCATTGTCCTTTATTTTCCCTTACCGTCTGTTATCTGAGCTAAAGTTTTCATCTCTTGTTAGCAGGCATTTCCTTGGTCTGAGATCGTTCATTGAACCCAACATCAATCAATCTACTGTAAGCTTTTTCTAAACCAGCAAGTGTAAGTTTCAGCAAACTTGTTCGATTCTGTCTTGCAGAGTTCAGTGCTGCAGCGTGGTGTTTTCATTCCTTGGAACTATTCGGTGGGATCCCAACCTCATGCTCTCCACTCCCACGCAGGTTTGAGTTCCTATGCCCTCCATTCCCGACAGCCTGCTATGGATCTCGAGGTGCGTTGGCCAATGGTCTTTCTCTTTATCGACTCCTCAACATAAAATTACCTGATCCTAATAATCAAATCCTTGGACGATGGACTTACTGGCGCCAACCACGTGAATGTTCATGAACTTGTATGGTAAATTGATTGTTTGATCCATCATCAATGGCGCAACAGAAACCAAGCATTTTGGAATCTGCTGCAGTCCATGTGGTCTTCTGGCTTGATCCAAGTCATCGAGATCCGGTCGGTAAGTGGGGGAACTAGAGAACTTTGTCTGGATGTACCAGTGATTGGAGATCGCATCAAACTACCAATCTTAGTGGGATGTCATCGATAGTGTCAACGACGTTATTGGTTAGAAATTTAGATGAGTCTGCAGCTACTATTTGAGCATATATAATAAATGGTAGCACACCATTTCTGTATTAGAAGACATGATTAGAGATGCAAGAAAGAAAGAATTATATATATAGTGATATGAAAATAATAATGACGTGCTTATGTTTGCTCCATTAGATAGAGGGGAGTTTGATATGCACATGTGGTGGCTAAAAGCTGGATTACAGTTAAATAAAGTTATACGTCAAATGGAGTGCACCGTGCCACGTGCTCGACCCCTTTGTGCGGGTCCCACTATTATGGCTAGCAACTCTAAAGTAAATCCCGTTAGATTTTGATTATGAACAATTTTGACCAATAAACACAAAGGGTCAAGATATTATTTTTCAAAGGTGACATCATTAATTTTATAGGGTGATTTTTTTCTTTAAAAAAAACATTTTTTTTTGCATATTTCTCAACTGGTAAATATTTTTAACACTTTTTTATTTTAAAAATATTTTAAATATCTCTATTTTTTATTTTTTTAATCGATTTTAAACTGTTATAATATTTTCATTTGGCTCATTTATAATATGTTTAATAATATTTATAATGTTTTTATTGAGACACTAAAAACATTGTAAGTAAAATTATGTTATAATATTATATAAATATATAATATTATATATATATATATATATATATATATTTATGAGATTAGGAATCTATCTAAATTGTTTACAGTGTTTTTAGTAGATTTTATAGTGTATTTATTGTAGTGATCAAAACATAATAATAAATTAATTTTTAAAAATTTTATTTAGATGATATTATTTTAAAATTATCAAAAAATATTATAATATATCAAAAAGTAGATTTTATAGTTTTTTATTGTGATGGTTAGATCAAAATTAAAAAAATAAAAGATAGTTTAGATATTTTTAAAATTAAAGATATTATTTAAAAAATTACAAAAGAGGAAGTATCAATTAGAAAATATGCTGTGAGTATTTTTTTTTAGAAAAATAACCTCATTCATTATATACACGTAATATTTTATTTATCTTATAAATATAACATACCCCGTACCAATGTTTATGACCCCACGGCACCACTGTCGCGGGCCCATCACGACCCAATATCACGTGCAACGCACATGTCCAGCTCTTAGAAAACAAAAAAGAAAATAGAAACCACCACAAAGCTATATCGAGAAAGAGGGGATAACGCCAAACGGAACGGGACAAAGTTAAGGTGAAAAAGGGAGCGAAGCCAACAGAAACGAGACCGAGCGAGCGAGACCATATATCCCGACGCCCTCCTTCTCGTCTCTCCTCTCCGGCGATCTCTCAATCTCTACGCCTCTTTCTCCCTTTTTAATTTCTTCTCGCCGCCGTGATTCACCCCGCCGGACGGTGCCCTAGCCGCGAAGAAACATCCGCATCTATTTGTTGTGGTGTCTTCCAAGCGGCAGCTGCGGTCCGAGCGGTTTGCGATTCCTTTCGGTCGTTCTCAAGCTTTTCTTTATTCGCTTTGCGGTAATGAAGCACTAGTTTGGTTCTTGGAAGGGATTTGGGTGGGGGGGGGGAAGGGAAATGGTGAACGATCGATGGCATGAAATGAAGGCGAGTCGTTGAGTTGGTTGTTGGTCGAAGGTGCCGTGGAGGTTTGGGCTGAGGCAATTTTGGCAGGGTCAGGGGAGGTGGTCGAGAGGAGAGATGGGTGACAATGGTGGGTCTTTTGTCACGGTGAGGAGAATAACCAAGGGGCCGGATCGAGGGGGCGGCTACCAGTCAACACATGGTATGAGGAAAATTGCTCCTTTTCCCTTTCTTATTGTTTTCTTGTGACCATCGAAGTTGATGCTTGGCGTATTATGGTATTAGTGGTAGCGGCAATCTGCAATTAGTTTTGGTAGGACAGTTGACAATGCTTGGACTTTTGAATGCCTAAGACATTCTTAGGTTTTGATCTACAAGTTTAGGTTGTCCATTTTACTCTGCATGTCTTTCTATCTTTGATCATCTTCTGCAAATTGCTTTCTTAGATATAGTTGTGAAGTATGTCATTGATGTAATCTTTTAAGTAAGCTCTGGGTACCCTTTTCTCCCATGTCGTTTGATTTAGATTTCATGTAGAGCTTCTTCGATCTATGAATTTATTCTGTTTGATTGTTTTTTGCATGGTGGTTTAAGTTCCATGACACGTATCTGCAGAAGAGCATGCAGAGGCTGAGAGATTAAATTTTCATGAGTGCTTTTTATGGAAAGATGAAAGAAATACCTACCAAAGTAATTGGATGATCATAATGTTCAATAAATGAAGATTTAGTGTGTTTGAGGTGATGGAATTGTACAATTGATGGTTATGCTCTCTACTGGCATAGGATGCAGCATAGCTGCTGATCAGTTACTGGCGCAACATGTAGGTACTGTATGACTTTGACTAAGTACTAGGAATTTTGTCGATCAAACGATTTTACCATGAATTTTAACAAAGTTCTCATAAACTTAAATTGTATGAATGTTCTCTTTTTCACTTTCCATGATGATATTGTTCTCGCTTGCCTCTCCCTCCCTTTCTCTCTCTGTCACACACACACTTTGATTTTTGAAAATTTAAAATCTTAGGTTTTTGCTTGGCCAAAGTTTTAAATAACAATCTTAACTACCCATCTGTATCAGTTTGGTGTTACAGAATAAGTTAATAAATATTTTTTTTGGAATGAATTATGTTGATTTGGATGGCTGGTTTTTTTAATGTATGGAGTATTTTTACATAGAGGTAAGCCTGTCCAATATGCACAGTTTGAACGTTACAGAATCTCTTATATATATTATTGTGAAACATGGTTGTGACAAAACAAGGGTCTCATTCATGATTGAAGCCTTAGCTGATAGTACTCGGATTCACATGCTTCCTATGACTAGTGGTTGAATCGGTTATGCCTTAACTGTATAGTTTCTCAATCTATCAAAGTTCATTCAAGTCGAAGTATAAAGTCATGTAAATGTCTTGATTTAAAATTATTAAGTTGCTATTGGTTATCCTTTTATTACAAACTTGTAAGGAAACTCAAGGTTCTTTCTTTTTTCTTGACTTAAATAGAAAGTGATCACTGAGGTGTTATGGATAGTAAGAAAAGTCATTATTATATTGTTAAGTATGCCTATGAAGATGTATCTTTTTTATTTTTTGTATTTGAACTGTCATCTTTATATTCATTTTGTTGTCTACAGAGGTTGTGGCGGGATCAACTGCGTGGATTGGAAAAGGTTTTTCTTGTGTTTGTGCCCAAGGAATTGACAGTGATGCTCGTTTATCATTTGACCTTACACCTTGTCAGGTAACCTCTTGTTAATATTGATTATATGCTTATTGGTTTTTTTGACACATGATCTTAAATATAGGTACAAGAGGTACATATTGACTGGCATTTACCAGTGTGGCCAAGCATTGGTAACAGACCATACAATTTAACAGTGCTCCATCTACTAATATTTTATTATTTTTATATTGATACTTGGTAGTATAGATTGACAAAATGTTTGTTATCTTAGTACCATACTGGTTATACAGCTTATTGAAACTGATGTTGGATGGGTATTTAGGTTTGATGTAATAACAAGTAATTGAATGTCACAAATGGCTATGTTTCTTGGTGGTAGAATTTAGAAGTAGGATATCTCAGATAGTTCTTGCAACATGAGCATGGACATGTACAATATGCCTCTCTTTGCAACTATTTGGGATTGGCTGCTTGAATGCTTTCCTGCTACCTGTTTCTGACAATTGAGATGCATATTATGTACAATTAAGATACGTTTCTCTTAGTTTTGTGGCATGCCCTTGTGTTATCACATGCCTCACCATGAGCTTTATGTCAATTGGTTGAGCGCTGTGCTAGCTAGTGTTTTGCTGGGCATGGTTTTGGCATGGCATTCAGATGAGTGCCAGTGCCATGATTGTACAGTTGACCCATCAAATGATTGTAATCTCTGACAAAGGTAACATGGAATTACTAGCTGACTCTTGATTGGTTTTAGCAGTATGTATAGGCCTATAGATACCTCTAGATTCTATGTTAACTACTTTGTTAAATTATATAAAACCTCATCATTTAATTTTTCTCCTGTGGTCAACCCTCTCATTTACACACATTGAAGTTTTGTTCCTTGTAGGTGGCCAGGCCTTCATTAATATTTAACTTCAACCCTGCTAGCTACTTTGTTAGATGCTTCATTAATATTATACATGGAGTACCATAGATATTTTTTTGCTCTTCAAAGGGAAAAGCTGATGAAAATTACATTCATTATACATGCATGCAGGAGGAATGCTTGCGTAAGTTACAATGCCGAGTCGATGTTGCCTATGAAAGTTCAAAAAAAGAGCATCAGGTACTTGCCTTAGAATGGTCTTTTCGATCTTATTGTTTTTTAGTTTCTAATAGTGAATCTTTGTTTTTTCTAGTTAACGTACTAAATTGATTCTTGCTTATAATAATTATGAGCTGTTGAAGTTCCTCTCAACCATCTAGCTATTTCTAGTTACCATTACTAAATTCTTGCTTATAATAATTATGAGCTGTTGAAATTCTCTCAACTATCTAGTAATTTTAAACTCATAAAGTTCTGCAGTTGTGTATTTATGTGAACATTTTTTTTGTGCAACTATATGATTATGTTGGTTACTTTTTGCTTATATTAATATCTAATCTGAGAAGGGAGTCAAGGTGCTAGTATTAATCATGTAGTGTCTTGTGCTTACGATGCATCTGCATCCATTTTATTGTTGCAACCTACAAGCACTTTATGTTTCAAATGGCATTTCCTCTGTGTTTGTTATCTCAGTGACTGAAATATTGCTAGGAAACCTTAAGAACCCTCTGGTATGCTGCTTATCCTGGAGTCAAACTCCATGGCTTAATATCTGAACAATGGAAGGAAATGGGATGGCAAGGAAAAGATCCTTCTACAGATTTTAGGTATTTAAAATGCTCAGTCTGTAGGAATCATTGGTAAGGTATTTTCATTTCAATTCGATAATAGGATCCAGAAACTATCTTTGTTCTTGTGTTGCAGGGGTGGTGGTTTCATATCTTTAGAAAACCTATTATTCTTTGCCAGGAGGTACCCTGTAAGTGGTTTTCTTTTCTTGTTAGCTATTTTAACTAGTAGATTCAAGTGCAGAATGATTTCAATTTATATGTGGCTCTTAACATAATGAATTGAACATCTTTGTTTTGTTCTGTCACCTATTTGTCGATTATAACAAGATGACAAATTGCCTTGATGTGCTGCCAAACTTACCATAAAACAAATTATTTCTTTATTTGTAATATTTTTGATGCAAATATTGAATTTTAGAATAAAAGACTGATATTCATTATCTTTTTTCTCTCGTGCCAACTGGAATAGTGTATCTTCAATCCTGTGTATGCTGGCCTCTCACTCGGATCCTGGTTAGCCTTATGGGAGTCATCATTTGGAAAACTTTTAGATTAAAACAGGGTGAATTTTTTGCATTTATCAATATATAAAAAAAAAAGATTATAAGTTGATTTGCAGAAGAGCCTTCACTTGTGCCTTAGTCACTTAGGTTGATATTCAACTGAGACAAAATTTAGGAGATAGTTGAACCTGAAAGACTAAAGCTGACTTGAAGAATTTAGAGCATAATTGGGTACTTGAGTGTTCTTAAGGAAGATAACATTTCAACTTGAGTGAATCAATCCATATGTGCACTGTTATGTGCCTTAACTGGTTTTGACTCTTTATATCCACCTATCTTAAGTAAAGGCTAATGTGAGAATCTTTTTTGCTCATTCTTAAATTTTGGTACTACTATGAGTCCCTTGACAGCAACTAGTACTGTGGAACACTGTAATGTAAACTCATTCTGATAATTCGTTTGATGCATTACAATTAAAATTCCTTTGATGTGTATGATCTTTACAGGATCTTGTTATAGATGGGTAATTTATAGCCTACATCCTAGTCTCAAAGCACAGTATTACACACTAAGACTAGTATACATGCATTTACTTGTTGGAATATAGTTGCATAATTTGGGCCAAGCAATGAACTGGCTCAGTAGTTTGTATCCTTTGGATGATCTTCTTAATAACTGAGCTGTTGTTGCCTCCTTGATGACTTTCCTCTGAAGTCCTACCAATTTTTCCTTGCAGAAGTCCTTCCAGGATCTTCTCCGAAAACAGGAGGGCAATCGAGCCCTATGTGAATACCCTTTTGCAGTAGCTGGTATAAATGTAACATTTATGCTCATCCAAATGCTGGATCTTCAAGTTGGTGGGTACTTTATCCAAGCTCGTTTCATTGATTTTGTGTGGCTAACTGCTTAAATTTGAATGATATAAATGCAGTATGTCATTTATCAACTATGGGCATCTTAACTGTCTTCAACATGTTGGACATTCACCAGTGTCACTTAAATCTTCAGCATAATAGAGTTCTTACCTGTGTCACTAAAATTTGTTTGTAATAGTTGCAGCTAAACCAAGGTCGATTGTGGGAGCTATTTTTTTGAATCTACTTTCAGGTATGTTTAAATGCTAAATTGCAGTTTGATCTTTTATGAGTTTTGTTGCTGATAAATGCATTTAGTCACTGATGCTATATATTACATTTTGATTTTTTAAGTTGGGTTCTTGAGAAATATGTTTTAGACAATGGTAGTTTGAAAAAATTAACATAAGCTCAATCAGTGGGTATAGATGCAGCAAGGAATGCAATTTTGGTTACTGAACCCATGCCAGTCCATGCGCGATTGGTACAGACCTGGTCTATTCCTGCATATCAACATATAATATGCTAGAATGTATCATGATATATGAAGACGAGGTAGCGAAGGAAGAAGCGGAGAAAGTATACCCGGAAAGAGAATAACTATACACGGTGGGTAGTGGGAAGGAAGGCGATGTCGGACCATAGCGGGCATGGTGCTCATGCGTTGAGATGGAGAAGAGGGTTTGGAATTTTTGGCACCAACCTATTTATAGTCCAAGAATTTTGTTTTTATATATAATTGGACCGGATTGCCTGAAATGGGGGCTGTCCACAAACCCATCCACGCCCACCCGACTAGCAAATACTGGTGGGTATGGATCAATCTGAACCACATTGCAAACTATTATAATATGCGGACCAACCTTATCTATTTTTTGTTAAGAAATAGTTACCGAGATCTGATTGTTACTCTGTTTTTCCACACTTAAATTTTGGTTGCACACTCCGATACAGTGAATTATTAAACATATGTTGCTTAGACCCTCAGAACCTACCAGCAGTCGGCCGATTACGTAAGCGGTCATCACAGGTTTCTCAGTGTTACAAACCAGTAAGTATGTGATTAAGCGCCTACCTACTGATATGCATAGGTGAAGATGGTGGTCTTTTGAATATTGATATTCGATATAGTTAAGCATCATATTGGAATTGTGCAATTTTTGATACTTGAACCTAAATGCTGATGATTTGTGTTTCAGAGAATGACTGGGCCTTCGACATATTGTACTGCATAGCTTTCAAGTTGATGGATCAGCAATGGCTCGCCATGCATGCCTCCTACATGGACTTCAATGTACGTCATATGTGCTCTCCACCACGGAATTACCGATTCTGTCCTTTTGCCCTAAACTCTCTTCTTGCTGGTACCATCTTTAGACGGTCATGAAGTCAACACGTCGTCAGCTGGAGCAGGAGCTGCTGCTAGAAAACGTCAGTCGAATCGAGGATCTGCCTTCCTTCAAGCTTCTTCTTAATCGGTCGCAGCATCTCAGTTAATATTCGGTTGCTGTATCAATTTCCTGCATTGTCTCTGAATCATCCATCTTCTCCTGAACATACAAGAAAAAGAGTCGAGGGAAATTTTTCTTTCCATTTTTCCCACAATTGCTGTAAGGTGATTCTTTCCCAGTTAAATAATTCCCACATTATTCACTAGACGTTCTTTGATATCTTTATCATCATCCAATTAAATAAACAGGTCGCTCTCTATATAAAACACCACAGTAAAGGCACTCCAAACCTACAAATATTCGAGCAACTCTGGAAATTGGAATCATAATATTTTTTCCCTATTACAGATGATGTTACTGAAAACACACACGTAAATAAATAGTAAATCACCACAAATGTGACCATAAAGAGCAACCAACAACGATAGCAAAAATGCCATGCAAAGGCAGTCCGCAATGTCACATAACTTCTCAAATTGAAACAGTTACTACAGGAATTTAAAGAGTCAAAACTGAAGTTTCATCAGCTTGGAAACAAATAATACTGCCCAGCTTAGATAAAGTTGAGAGAGCAACAATATGTCTCATCTCTACTCGTAAATCCAAGGGTGGAGGCTGTTCTGCCACTCGGCGATGCCTTCCGGGAACCACAGAGCAATCTCCTTCCTCGCACCCTCGATCGAATCACTTCCGTGAATGACATTCCTGCACATATGCAGCAGATGTGTCATACCAGTGGTTACAGATATCAGGGAAACTCTAATCAAATTGCTTCTTATAACATAGGGTGCCACAATTTTATTCCTGAAATATGATTTGCTGCTAACAGTTTTATAATCCAAAAGCACTGACGATTGCGAGCAAGAATTTAATCAGCTACTTCTCTGCCTAACTCGTGTAGTTTTATCTTGATAATATCGGTCATCTTAACTGCCAGATGAACAACACACAAAGTTACATGTATACATACAAGCAGTAGAACATTCGATTTGTTAGGTCCTTAGTAGATGCCGTTCATTCATGTATTTTCCAGCAAACTAAATTGACATTCAATTCAAACCCTTTCATAGCCCTTTTTCCTTGAGTATCTACCTGTAATGCTGGCCTCCAAAGGCATCCGGGAGCTGCCATTTTAACATTTTCTATTGCTCTTCTTCTACTTCCACTTGGATCCAAGTTCGACGTACAGAGAGACCGTACCGTGTAGATTAGAGCCAAAGGGTTTTCGACCAATCAAAACATGCATTGAACTCCCTATTTAGAGAGACACATGCAGAATTATGGAATTTAATTACAAGTTCCAAAGGGAAGAGGGAACAAAAAAGTGTTTGGACTAGTATGAGATGTAGAATCATGTGAGCATGTAAAGCAAAAACTTCCTAGCTGAAATCTAGTCAAACACCCTACTCAAAAGAAAAATCACACGTAGTCATGTTTATCGCAAAGCAATTCTTGTGGTTGATTAAGGTCTTAGTCAATTGAAGAGAAAAAGACATCCACCATTCTTGAATATAATGCAGTTAATCCTTGATTAATACGATAAATTGATATCCATACATGTATTTGATATCAGAACGCAAACAAAAATGAGCCTTGCTGAATCAGAGACAAAGAAATCACCTGCCGATCTCGATCGCAAGGTCCCCACGGATGGTGCCGGGGGCGGAGTCGGCAGGGTTAGTTGCGCCGATAATCTTGCGGCCGGTGACAACCACACTCTTTCCCTCCCACACCATCGCAACCACGGGGCCGGAAATGATGTACTCCACGAGCCCGGCAAAGAAGGGCTTCGCGGAGAGGTCGGCGTAGTGCTTCTCGGCGAAGGAGCGCTCCACGCTCACCATCTTCAACCCTGATTTATGGCACCAAGACAAAATTTCCATCTTCCTTCTCCAAATCACCAAAAGAGAGCAACACGAGACACCCAAAAACCGTACCTTTCAGGTAGAAACCCTTCTTCTCGAATCGCCCAATGATTTCCCCAACCTGACGAACGAAACGAATCGAAACAAAATCTATGAGCGTTGTACCGATCTACTTTACAACGACGACTACAGCATTCGATACGACCGTCTTCCACTAAATGATTAGCCCTGAAAGGCAACGGTGGAGAGAAAGGGAGGTTTACCAGGCCTCGTTGGACGCCATCGGGCTTGATCATGATAAAGGTCTGCTCCATCTCTGAGATAGATCGGTGTCCCTCCTTTCTCGCCGACGCCGCAAACAAAACCCTAACCAAGAATAAAACAAGACAAAAAGCAAAGCTATTATACCCCCCGAGAGAGAGAGAGAGAGAGAGAGGAGCCCGACGAACCCTATCTCTCTCTCTCTCTCTCTCGTACTTGCTTTATGGGCCTGCTTCAGCCCATCACAAGTTAGGCCCATAGTACGTTCATGATATCTCTTTTTTGAGCCTATTTCTGGTACTTACTTTGTGGACCGTTTAAGCCCATACAGATTTAAGCCCATTAGTAAGATCATAATATCTATTTTTATTCGTCTTGTCGGATCTCTTATCGAAGATGAATATTTTCCCGTCAATAACTCGATGCTATTTTACTTTTACTTTTCCTATGTATTCCTTTGTCACATTAGATTTTTTTATTCCTAATTATCTTTCATTGTATGTTTTGGCTTTAATAATAAAATAAATACCTTAAAGATTATACTAAATGCTTGAAAAAGAATCGAATGGCATAACATATCTAATTTTCCAAATATTAGCTAACATATTTTAAATAGCATATCTTTAAGGCTTCGAGGTTTGCACGTTGAACACATATACTAAGCTTAATTAAGTTCAGCATATCTTTGATTCGAGAATGTTTCGTTTTAATTACAATTTATTTTCATTTGTTAAAGCTACGGCATCGCGTAATGAGGTTATTTTTTATTGATTTTTCTTGAAGTGTTTTAATATTTCTCGATAACAAATGATAACATACTAATCGAAAAAAAAGTTTATATATCACAGATGAGATTACATTTAGATTGTGGGGAATATGATCAAGATTTTTCATAGACAATAAAATTTAAAGATTTAGTGAGAAATAATGATAATTGGAATTGTCAATCATCATTAATTTTTATCTTTTAAGAAGCATAAATCTGCATATAAGCATTAGATTTAAATGGGGTGCTTCTTCTAGCAAAAACCTTGATCAACATGTTTATTAGGTTTATGATTGACTTGCAGATGTTACATTTGTGGATATTTATGATTAGTGCAATGCCATTTCATGATTAACTCTAATATAGTCAAGTCAACATAATGAAGAATTCTGATACTACATCGAGGTGAGTTTGATACAACAACAAGATTATTCTTTTATAGGTAATATCTCTCTATTTATAAAAGATAGAGACTGTGTGCATAAATCCTTCATGATGAAAGTTTCATGCTTTGAACACTGTTTAATATGCAACATTAGACAACCTTTGCATGATTTATGCCATCTGCTGCATTTTTGTCAAAGTATTCAACAATCCAACATGACTTTGATCTCAAGCTGGACTTTTATGTTTCAACTTGGAATGTTCAGAGCCTGCCAACATTTGATGGGTTTTCTCTGTGCACAACATAATGCATTTTAGCTATTCATTGTTCAATTTAAAGCTTGGGATCAATTTTAAATTCCAAATTCACTTGAAATTAAAATGACTTTTGGGTTGGGAAAAGGTTTGGTCAAATTAAAGGTAGAACTCATCAGGGCATTTGAATTAGAAGAAGATAGTTAATAGCCTCAAGTTTAGATACTCCAATTTGGGAATCCAATTTACTCAAAGGCCTGAACAGAGCACAGCAATCAAATGGTTTTTGTAGGGATAACCAAACATTATGATTCTTTCCACCACTTCTTTTATTCTCAATAATTACTTTATGTTCATAGCTATCTACAAAAATTAGGGTCAAACTTGACATAAGTGCAAACCACTACATTATATTTACTTCATATACTTATTTTAATTCAAACAATCTAATTTATATATAAATATATTGATAAGGATAAAATTATTCGTCTGATCGCGACTATATCAATTAGATAAAAATGATAAGATTAATTATACAGATGTATCACCTTAGTATTAATCAAAAAATATTTTTTTAACGTTTTGATATTCGCCTCGATCATGTTATCTTAGCGATTTAGATTGACGAGAAATTTAAATTAATAATATAAATGATAATAAATTATACGATGAATTGTTATAATATTTATAGATATTTTTAAATTTTGATATATAAATTAATTAATTAAAGAAAAAAGAAAAATAAAAATAAAAAGAAAGATGAGCTGTTTGTAACATTTGGTCAGTCACTCAGCATCCTAACCCCAAAGGCAAGGCAGAGAGGGCGGTGGTGATGGGAGACACAACAAAAAACAATGCAGAAAAGAGAGGGGAGGACTCCTTCCCCCATCCATTCACCTCCTCTCCTTTTCCCATGCCATTTAATTTGATTGCTTGGTGGACTCCTCCCTTCCATTGGATTGTACAGAGTCTGACCTGCACGCCCTATCTCACCCTGCAATTTCTTTCCCTTTTTCCCCTTCCATCCTTCCTCTCCCTTCTCCAGCATCTTTCCTCTTTCTTTCCTGCTTTCCTCCCTCTGTGGTCTTCTTGGGCTGGAAAGAAGAATTCTGGAGTTCTAAAAGTTGGTTTTTTTCTGAAAAGGGGCCTCTGCTAGCTGTTACTGTGTTCTGAGTCGTTTCATGTCCTGGTGGTTTTTCGTTTGGAGGGCTGCAAGAATCTATTGAAGCCTTTCTAGTTTTAGCACAATTTCTCACATGAAAATACAATTCTTTTCTTCTTCTTCTTCTTCTTCCTGTGTTGCTGATTTCTGTTGGGATTAGAAGGGGGAGAGGGAGGGAGTGGAACACATGGGAAAACAAGGACCTTGCTGCCATTGTGGAGTTACAAGTGAGTTGCTACTCGTGTCCGTGACCAATTCTGGATCTTTGTCTTGCTTCTCTGATTTTTTTTTTTTTTTTGCTTCAGTTTCTTAAAATTAACAAGTTTTTGTTGAGACAGTGATTATTTGTTATGTCTGTGTGTGTGTATATATGTATGATTTCATTACCAAAACCTATTGAATGCAAACGCTCCATGTGATCATCTGAAGAATTATTAGATGTTCTTCTTGGTCTTTGCTTGGCTCGGCCAGGTGGAAGAAGGTTTAACTTTATCCTATGTGATATCATCAATTGAACCTAATTGATGTCTGTGCTTCGTTTTATTACCTTTGCAGTTTCTGTCACTCCAGATTTGCTTCTTAGAAGAATCTCGGTATCTTTGTCAAATAACTATCCTCGGAAGGAAGAATTTTTTGCGGTGGCTGTACAAAACATTATAGTAAAATTCCAGTGACCTCCAATTGGGATTGCAGAATTGAAGACGCTACGCATTTCCTTCTTCCTGTTTTAGGATTCGGCAAACGAAAAAAATGCTTTCCCTTGTTTAGAATGGTAGTAGATTACTTGCTTCTAGTTTGTGAAATTTGTGGAATATCTTAACTTACCACAATAGGATTTGCACATTATGTTAAATTAGATGTGAGGTTTCTTTTTCTGCCGGGAGCATAGGTTTCTTAATTGAGTCATCACTCAGTGACTATCGTTGGCACATTTCATATCATGCCATTGGACCTGCTGCGTTAGTAGGTTCTTTGTCGATGTATATTCCAAATTCAGGTGCATTCTAAAATGAATAAGAGTTGCATGTTTTCAGTACTACACAACATCAAGAGAATGAAATAATAAGGACAAAAATTCTCGAGTACATCTTATGGGAGAGCTGGTTTGCTTCTAGGTTTACATTCGCAATCGGCATTCATGTTGTAAACTCATTTACTGAGGCAATCGGGCTAACCGCTGTTCGGTTGTTAGAATTGTTCTATCATGCTGACAGCTAAGCTCTTCTTTTATTGATTACTTACCATAAGTTTCATGTACGGTTTATAAGCATTTGCTTATAAATAATATTCACTCCACGATTGTCTTTTTAGTCTTTGCTAATGGTTTTTTGAGCACCCAGGGTACATTTTTAGAATCTTGAATCGGAAGTTAAGTGTCCATTGGTGGCATCCGTGTGGTTGTTTATTTTGTTTGTTTGCTAGTAAGACTTCTTCCTTGTCTGATAATCACACCGTCTCATGTTTGTTCATCTAGATCATAGAAAGTATTCATAGAATGAGAAATTTTCTGTTTTCTATTGTTTTGTTCAAATGTTCTCCAAAATATGGACAATAATTAGGATTTTGATGACAATTTGAAGGAGATGGCCTAGAATAGGAATTATAGATTAGACTGAGAAAATAGTCATCTAAAAGGGTTTGTCATGTTGGTCATTATCAAATTGTATCATGGTGTGTTGATTTTTATTGGACTGCTTGGGCATATATTACATTGCTGTGTGCAGAAGAGTTTGGTTTTTTGGAAGCACATCGTGCAATATAATTCTTATGTTCCTACTTCTGTTGCTTCTGTACTTCCATGTCTTTTCATAGTGATCGAACACTGGGCTTTTGTTTCATCTGCTAACATAGTTCCATCATCCATGTCTTCATTTACAAGCTTATTAATTATGTCTTTCAGATATGCACTTTTGCTTGTTTCAAAGGCAAGAAAACTTGTTTTAATCAAGAAAATCTATGTTTATATGTCACTTTTCTATTCTCTTTGACATAAATAAGCTTTAGGATTTGTGTTCCTAAGCAATCATATGGTCGCTGAAGCTTAATATCAAATAGGTACCCCTCTTTGGCGGAATGGACCATCTGATAAGCCAGTTCTATGCAATGCATGTGGTTCTAGGTGGAGGACCAAAGGTTCATTGATGAACTATGTACCACAGCATGCTCGTGAAGGTTTTGCCATGGATGGGCTAAAATCCTCAAAAATAAAAAACTTATCCTTCAAACCCAAAGAACAGAAGTTGCAAATGGAAAAGCAAAGAGATGGTATGTTGGGAAGTGACTGTGAAATGCAGTATTGTGACCAGAACTTTCACAAGATCGTCAAGGGTATTATAAGCAATGGATCCGGTTCTGAGTCAGCCATATCAGGCTCAGACAGCTGTGTACAATTTGGCTCTGCTGATGCAAGTGACGTGACAGGTTACTATCTTTTCTGTTATTCTAAACATTAGGCAACCTTTCTCTCTAGAAAACCACAGGCTTTTTATTTTCGAGAATTCAAAGATGTATAATTTACTGGGTTTCTTGTGATAACTGGGTTGCCAGCCCTTCTTCTTGAAGTAAAGTATTTTGGGAAGCAAAACAAAATGGACTGAGTTTTGGATCAGACTATAGTCCATTAAGTATGCATTCATTAGAAGCTAAATGACCGATACTAGCTTCTTTTGCTTATTAAATTTTCTCCTTTGATTCTGTGTATTGCTGTGATGATATATGTGGACACCGAAATGTATTAGTTTTACACAGAAATTTTGGAACACTTGAACTGGACAACCAACAATAAGAGTTCTATTTTACTTTCAGCGTCTAATATGTGGAGCTAGTTTACTTACTGATACTATGTTAGGCCCTAACTTGTCACCATAATTAAGGTATGGTCATTCAATAGCTTTTTAGTTTGCTTTTCAGGTTCAGTGCAGTCACATGTATGGGATTCACTAGTGCCATCGAAGAAGAGGACATTTGTAACTCGGCCGAAGCCTTCTCCCGTTGAAAAGCTCACAAAGGACTTATGTTCCATATTACATGAAGACCAATATTCTAATCTGTCAATAATCTCAGAAGATGATCTGCTTTACGATAGCGGGACGCCACTTGGCTCGTCTGAGATCGGGTATGGAGGTGTACTCATAAATCATCCACATTCAAAATCTGTAGAGGAGGAATCTGAAGCTAGCTCACTTCCAGTAGATAAATCATACACTACCAATGAAGGTTATTCTGGTTCTCCTGTAAATACTGAGAGCAAAAGAACAAGTTTTCTGAATTCTGCTGCTACGACACAAATGTCCCAAGAGATTGTGAAAAGGTACTTTCTTGCATGAACAAAAAGAAGAGACTATGTGATTGTTTCAAAAAGATGCTCTTTGCTTATCTCTCAATAGTTGTGAAATTCACTTGATTGGTCTACTGAAGGTCGGTCCATGCTTTGTGTCTGTGCTTTTCAGGGATAAAAGCTCACATGAAAACTTAAACATCCTGCAAGATAGAGATTCTCCTTTAAGTTCTGCAGATTTAAATGTAAGAATATAGTTATTTTGGCTTTTAGTATCTGTATCAGTGTTTTTGATGTAGCCCACACAAGTGAGATCTGATTTGGCCATTTTACCGTGTTAGGTTGTCATCAACTTTGAGAATTTTATGGAATATCTGACGGATGAGGAACAACAACATTTGATGAAATATCTACCATCTATAGACACTGCTAAACCTCCTGAAACGTCTGTTGCATTTCTGTAACTTCATTCTTCTATTGAGTTAAAGTTGTTCTCCCATTATCATACTACATTCTTGTTGATTTGGCAGCCTCAAAAGCATGTTTGCCGGTCCCCAATTTTTGAAGTCGTTACCGTACTTCCAGCAACTGCTTCAAGAAGGAGTTTTTGATCTCTCCTTGTCAGAAGCAAATGCTGAAGAGCGCAGGACATTGAAGAGGCTTGTACTATTAAATTGCATCAATCTTCAGTGGTTAGAGTACTATCAACAGATAAAGGTAAAAGGAGAATTTAGTATGACTTATAAAAGGAATGTGCCATGTTCTGATTGATATGCTACCTCAATTGTTGTAGGATGCATCTTCTAAGAAGATAAAAGGAGGAAATGAAACATCAAACCGACAAAATCTTCCTGGTCTTTCTAACTTGGCATCCATGAAAAGGCATCAGGATAAACAAAATAAGACCTATCCAGGTTTGATTCTTTGATGTTTCTGTTGAACAGATGAAAGATATGAATGCCACCTGCTTGACTGGGCAATTTCGATCACAAGAATCATGTAAAATGAAATAGTCTTCTATCTTATGGTAATATACGTACTGCCAATTTCAGACCTGAAGAGTACTATGAGAAGTCCTAAAAGAGTGTGCAGATCCGAGGGCATGAATCCTCCTTCAAGATGCTCAACTCAGCTGGAACCTTGGGACAGAGGGGACTCTGTGGACCATGATGGTGCTTGCTTCAGTCCAAGAAGAATCTTTGCATCTCCTCCCCGTAGGAGCTCCATCTTACCCCCACCGCCGTCCATCGCTGACGATTCCGAAGGCGACTTGCTTCTGGATGTCACTTCCGGTGCATCATTTGCTGAAGCAGAGCTTCTGTATCATCCATGGAAACAGAAAGCAGACCATGATAAGTGAGCAAGGCATTGGTGGCCGAGTTGATGGGTGTTTGTGTGAACAGTGAACAGTGAAGGGGTGGAGGTGCAGAGGTCGTATGTATTGCCAATAAAGAAAACGAGTGCTCATCACTAGCACTGTGCCTGCATTGCAGTCCTGTAATGTTTGTTGACGCGCTCACTCTTGCAAACTGGTGCCTCCTACTATGGGCAGCCTACTTGAACGTCTACAAGTCATATGGGAATAATACGTGATCAGTGGTTGACACCTGGATGTCGTGAGTATGATCGATATATATCGACATCTTAGTTTGATACCTTGACGGTACGATTTTTTGATGTCGTAATCGAGTTGATGTCTTGGCGTGATCGACATTTCGATGTCATGTGATCGATATCACGGTTCAACATAATCTCATCTCTTTGATGTTATAATTACATTTATGATCATTTTATATTTTTCGGATTGGATTTGATAATACATAATTATGTTTGGGACCAGAGAAGGCATATAATCATCCTTAGCATTAAGGCATATCCTTGAGGATAATGGTCTTAAAATCTTACGCGAAAGTTCCTTTATATTTTTGATTCTGTAAGTCTTTTGGTATTCAACGAATATTCTAAAATCAATATTAATTCAATATTAATTTAAGCATCGTAGAGAGCTTTATTGGGTGCATCCTGATGTAATTTTTATAAGATATGATTTTTTTTTACATCAATATGAGATGTAAAGAGAGAGAGTGTGTGTGAGTGTGAGCATATATATATATATCCCAAACCATACCCTCTAATTCAATAAAAATTCAAAATTATCGCATCTCCACCACTTCCATCATCGCTTACTTCATCGTTATCATTGACTATCCTATTAGACTGATTGTTGTCTCCTATGTCATTATCGTTGTCAACTATCTCGTTGGACCCATCGTCACATCCTTTTCTTTGTATCATCATCCTACGTCGCCTCCATTGTTGTACCTTATCTCACCTCCCATCTCGTGGTTGCTCGCATCTTTACACGTGGATTAGCCTCATCGACCACTAGTGTGATGCTTTTCGATGAGAGCAAAGATGATATAAGGAGAAGGAGGTAAACGATATAAAACAAGAGACAATGGTAGAAGAGAGAAGGAGGAGGAATAATTTAAATATTTTTTAATTAAAAAATATTATTAAAAAAATCAAAATATGGGTAAATGTTTAGAAAATGTCTAAAATAAAATAAATTTTAAAAAATCGCTGATTATAATATATAAATATTTATTTGTATGTATATATAAATTGCGACTCCCACTTTTTAGGAGGTTTTAATGAGAAGAAAAAAGGACAACAAAATTAAAAGTACGTGGCGTTATTCTTCCTTCCCCATCTCGACCGCCTAAACGTTTTCTTCTCCTCAGCATAATATAAAGAGAAAGGGAACCTCAATCCCCGAGCCAGACGGCAATGGCGACCTACGGCGGCGTACTCCGGCGCTCCGCCGCCGTCGTGGAGCACGCCCGCGACAGTGCCCGCTCCTTCCGCCTCCACTACGCCCTCCTCCTCTGGGTCCTCCTCCTCGCCTCCCTCTTCCCCCGCCGCCGCGCCACCATGCTCTTCCTCATGGCCGCCTCCAAGCTCGCCCTCTTCTACGGCGCCCTCCTCAAGGCCTTCCCCAATTCCGCCCTCCTCCGCCAGATCGTCGACCGCAGGCTGGTCGCCGCGCTCCTGATGGCCGTCGTCGGCGCCGAGATCGTAATGACGAGTGCCGTGCCGCAGTTCCTGCTCGCCATGGCAGTCGGGGTGCCGCTCGTGCTGCTCCACGCCTTGTTCCGAACGCAGGACGATCCGGCGGCCAGTGGCGAGGAGACGACCACCGGCAATGGTGGCGATCCTGGAGAAGAAGGTGATAGAAGATAAGATTTCCCCAACTTGATTGAGGATAAGATTTCCCCAATTATACGAGGAAATCTCTCTATTCTGTTTATTGGAAATCCTTCCTCCTAATTTGTATAAACAGGAGAAGGAACATGTTAATAGATTCAAGCTAAAGCTATTTCATTTCTACAATAAAGCTTCTTATATTATATTATTTTTATCTTCTATTATTTCTATCATGGTATCAGAGCGGCGTTCTCCTCTTTGAGTCTTTCAACCTCACCTATCAGCTTCACGTCAGGTTATAGAAGCTGCTGCTGCAACATCATCTTCCCACCTTTCATCGTCCCGTCACTAACCTCTGCTCCAGATCTGCCAGATCTGCTCTGCTTCCGCGCGCTGGTCCATCGACCAGCTCCTGGCCTTCTCCCTCCAACGCCTCCGCCTCCGCCACCGCTGTCCTCGACTCCGGGAACATTATCCTCACTGCTTCCGAGAGGACCTTCTAGGTGCAGGCCTCCCAGCAGCCAGCATCCTGCTCTGCCTTCGCAGAGACAAGCAGCCTTCGGTAACTTTCCACACTGCTGCCTTGTTGCCAAGATTTCTCACTGCTGATCTATTGCACATAGATCTACAGTTGTCTTGCACAAAGCTGATCACGCCACTGGCTGCATCACTGCCCAAAGTCCCTCCTATAGAACTGCTGCATAGAAATCTACAACTTTACACCATCTTGCATAGGTCTTTTCCTTCAACGAAGACCTTATTCTTTCGCAGATCTTATTTGCCACCACCTCAGGTGACATTGATCTATACCAACACTTCTTTCTCCCTGATCATATCTTCCATATGTCATCATCATCTACCTCTGATGCTCCCATTACTATTCCCGCAGGGAACCATAGTATCTTCTCACATACAAACCTTATCTCCATAAATGCAGCAACCCTCATCCCCTTCAAATTATCCAACGGTGGTAACTACGTATCATGGTATCAGAGCCGCTTGCCTAGAGCAAGCTCTCTTCTCGTTGCCAATTCATCATTGGTGTTGCCACTTTGCGCCAACGTCCGTTCCCTTCCGCTACGGCATCTCTAGTGCTGCTCATCAGCACTGCCCCACCTTTCTTCCTCGTTGTAGCTATTTTCCTTCCTCTTTTGCTACAGCTTCCTCTTCTGCTACAGCTTCCTCCTCTGTTGCAGTTTCTTCCTTTGTTGTAGTAGCATCACTGCAACATTGCTGTAGATTTCTTCTCTACCGTCGCAGCCATCGTAATCGCAACCACGACCAACGTCGTTGAGAAAAGCGAAGCTTCGCTCTTGCCTTCGGCCAGCGACCAACATCGCTGAGAAAAGTGAAGCTTCACCCTTCGGCCAGCGACCAACGCCGTTGCATTCCTAAAAGGCTCCGTGGTCAATCCTCATCTTCCTCACCGCGGTAGTCTTCGCTGATCTGTCAATATTCGGCAGACTTAAGGAGAACGAAGGGAACGCCTGTGCCATCACAGCAACAGCAATCACAGTAGCAGCACCAGCGATCTACACTTATCTTACTCACAAAGCCTCTCGCATCTTGCGGGGGCATGATAGAAGATAAGATTTCCCCAACTTGATAGAGGATAAGATTTCCCCAATTATATGAGGAAATCTCTCTATTCTGTTTATTGGAAATCCTTCCTCCTAATTTGTATAAATAGGAGAAGGAACATGTTAATAGATTCAAGCTAAAGCTATTTCATTTCTACAATAAAGCTTCTTATATTATATTGTTCTTATCTTCTATTATTTCTAACAGAAGGAAGATCTTGAATTGGGAACTCAGTGATAGCAGCCTCAGTTTTGCATTCTATACTCCCTTTTTATTCTTACTTTTACCAATTTAATCTTTCTCTCCTTCTTACGATTACCAATTTCTTGACATCTTACTTGTTATGTATACATATAGACAATTATAATTTCGATAAGGGAATTCAGAACTGGGAAATGGTTAATTGTCGTCGTCTATGGTTTGGTATATTGAACGGAGCTGTGAGATATTGAGATGACTGTAGCTTGCAAACCATGAGACTTGTACAGAAGAACAGTAGGAAAATGGACCTGTTGAAAGCCATGCTCATAAGAGCTAAGGGAACATGCAAGAACAGTGGGAAAATGGAAGAAACAAGAAGATGACAAATCACCTGACTCCTTGCTCGCGGTGATCTAAGAAATCAAGATTCCACTGGGTGACTCTGTCAATGGATGCATAGCCACCGGTCGCAAATGCTCCAAGAAGATTCAAGGTTGCTGCGGACTGGCTGTAGCCTTTCAGCAGCCGTCTTGGATCTGGCTCTCGAACCTTTTCATCGAAGGTATCACCGTTAATGATGTCTCCTCCCTGATAAATGGGAAGCTTCACACCGTCTCGTGTTTCGACTGTGCTGGATCGAGGTTTTGTTATTAGAAACATAGCATACGATTCAAATGGAAGTAAGAAGGAAAGATGGTACCTTGATCGTGGGCATCTGTCCGCCGAAGGTCAAGACGAGGCCCATCTGCAACAAAACCCTAAACGTGTCCCTTATTTCGTCGGCACTGAACTCCCTGAAGCTCTCGGTGCGGTCGCCCCCCAGAAGCAAGAACGCACGGCCGAACGCAGCCTCGGCGAGCCTCTCCTCCAGCTTCCGCGCCTCGCCAGCGAACACCAGCGGCGGGCACGCCTCCAGGCTCCGGAGGACCGAATCCAACTCCACCAGGTCCGGATACGCCGGGATCTGGAGCACCGGCTTCGACCTCTAGCTGTCCGGCGCCCAAACCGTGGAGGAACACCTCTCCTTTCCTCCCACTGACAGGACTTAGACGATCGGGGTGGTAGCAGACGAGAAGGAAGCGCGCCGGCTGTTAGTGGTGGAGGTGGAAATGAGAGTGGCGTAGGCGGTGAGCGCCGCCAGTGAAGGAGAAGGAAGAAGTAGCGGTTCAAATTGGCGGGTTTGAGGGAATATATAGGCAGACGTTGGAGTCCAGTTACCGGAAGGTGACTTTAATTAGACCTTTTGGGTCCATTGTATCTTTATCTTTTTAATTATAGTTTTTTTTTTACAAATAAAATTATTTAATTATTGAAAATATATACACCAAAATATTATCTATAATTCTTCTGATAGCAATCCTATGCATTACAGGATTCAGACTGCCAAAATACGAAGGATATATTTAGATTCAAATATCCTGAGCTTTGGATTCCTGCTGTGCCATGTCCGGAAGAGCCGAATCAGGGACAGCGTCAGCCTCCATGGTTGGCACACCAGAACCAGTCGAACCAACATCGATCTTCTTTGGCTCCTCCTCTTTCCTTCTTGCTTCCCATTTGTTCTTTCTAAGATCAATTACATCTCTCAGCATAAATCTAGTCCGTGAAGACAGCTTCTGATCGGTCGATAGCTTTGCCATCGTGTCGAAATATGCATCCATATGCTCCTTGGCCTTCGGGTGGTCTATCGTCTTCCCAATCACACCCAGCAATCCGCACAATGCTTCGACATCTTCCTCCGCAGGATTCTGATGCTGCCCCAGAAACTTCTTGATGCACTCATGCATGATTCTCTCGGTCAGCATCCTCTGTTTGTACAATTCCCCGAGCAACCGAACATTACCAAGTCCACGCATGCGAGCAAGAAGCCTCCTCTCTTCCTTTTCCGCCTCAGAGTGCTGCATCTCAACTTTGTGACCTTCGGCTTCTTCCCGCTCCCTTCTTTCGAATTCCTCTTGGCATTTGTTCATAAGAAGTCTTTTGAAGGTAATACGTTCATCCATTTCGTTGAAATCAGGCAGCACGCCGGCGAGACGAGAACAGAGACCAGCATACATTTCACACAAGGCTGGTTCCATCGTGGCTCTGTCAAAGATCTGCGAGACGACACCAGTAAGAGTGACCGCGTTGTCGATGGTGATCTCCTCAACCTGCACGAAGAGTTCTTCAAAATTTTGAGGTGTCAGTTTCTCGAGGATGGCTCTTAGTCGTCTTTGCTTTGCCTCTTCGTCATCGATCATTCCGCCTACTTCATACTTCGTCTCAGCTTTGTGCTTGACCTGCCAACGCGTTCGAGGGACGCCAGGCGCATGTCGCCGCCACGCCGTGCATTTTCCACCACCCATAGTGCCAACCATGCGACGGCGCGCCCAAGGAACACCTGATGGCTCCTTGATCCTTGTATTCTGCCATTTGTTCTTTCTAAGATCAATTGCATCTCTCAGCTTGAATCGAACTCGCGACGACAACTTCTGATTTGTTGATAAGGCTGTCATCGTATCAAAATATGCATCCATATGCTCCTTTGCTTTCGGGTGGTCGATCGTCTCACCTATGGTACTCATCAACACACACAATGATTCAGCATCTTCCTCGTCGGGATCACGATGCTGCCCCAACAGCTTCTTGATGCACTCATGCATGATTCTCTCGGTCAGCATCCTCTGTTTGTACAATTCCCCGAGCAACCGAACATTACCAAGTCCACGCATGCGAGCAAGAAGCCTCCTCTCTTCCTTTTCCGCCTCAGACTGCTGCATCTCAACTTTGTGACCTTCGGCTTCTTCCCGCTCCCTTCTTTCGAATTCCTCTTGGCATTTGTTCAAGAGCAGTCTCTTAAACGTAATCCCTTCGCCGCTAAACCTAGGTAGTACATCAGCAAGATGACGGCAGAAGGTGGCATACACTTCACAAAAGGTTGGTTCCATCAGAGCTTTGTTAAAGATCTGTGAGACGGCACCGGTAAGAGTGAGTGCGTTGTCGATGTTAACACCTCTGATCTGGGCAAAGAGTCTTCGGAAATTTTGAGGTGTCAATTTGTTAAGGATGGATCTCACTCGCCTTTGTATCGCCTCTTCCTTATCAGCAATTTTGCCGACTTCATACTTGTTCTCGGCTTTGTGCATGACCTGCCAAGGTGTTTGGGGAGAGGGAGAGGGAGAGGGCAATAAACCTTGTTGCGAACCAGTTTCACGCCCCGACCAGTCCGCATCAGGACTACCCTGCGCCATGCATTTTTCATCATCCATGGTGCACCACTTGCTTCAGAACTCCCGATTGTAGGATCGACCACCGTGACTATCACCCGATCGCTTGAAGCTACAGAGACAGACGTCAAAAACTCCATCTTTGTTAAAACCATTCGATCCGAATCAATGAAACACACCGAACCCATACAAGAAAAACAGAGAAAAGATGGCACCTTCGCTTCGTTAACAACGAGGGAAGCAGCACCGAGGAAGAAGAAGAAACATCATGGAAGCTGGTCGGATTTGCCTGCCTAATCGACGACTGGGTCACATCTGAAAGAAGAAGAAGAGATTTCGACCTCCGCCAGATCAAGCCCTGAAACTTCAACCTTGCCCACGGATTCCGCAGGCGATCGGAGAAGAAATTTATTGTCAGTGAGGGGCAATCAGAGAGTGAAGAGGCATCCGATCGCTCACCTAAGATTCCCCACGGTGGGATGTCGCGACCAGAGCGAGGGTAATCAACAGCGCTACACGAGAGAAAGAGGAAAGGTGGGCGTCGAGATACTTAGCGGTGAAAGCAAGCGATCAGGGTTTTCTTGCACCGCAAGGAAAGGAGAGGACGAAGGTTCCAGTATGATAGACCGATGCGTGACGTGCGCCATGCAGCAGTTCATGACGACACACGAGTCCACCAGGAACAGTACAAATACCCGTTCCTTCACAAAACCTATCATCTTTGTTGGATCTCAACTTGGATTTCTTGGCCATGAGCATGAAGAGCATGTGAATCACGCGTTGTATCATTTCTTCTTCTTCGATTGCTGTCATGTCTGTTTACAGACAGTCATACCATCCTGACTTCCATTTTAGTATAAAGCTGAAGAACAAGGCCTTGTTCTTCCCTATAGTCTCAACACTAACTTGCAAGAGAAGGAAGTAGATGCCTTGTCTAACAGAAAATTAATGTGTGTATATACATATGTATATGTACATATATACATATACATATACATATACTTCTTGAAGATTGGGCCAGGCTTTGCAGCGAATGTAAAGCCCGGCACTGTGCAATACAGTTGAGCCCATATTAGATTACATACATGTAGCTATTGACAATGATGCCGTCAACCCTGAGCTTCATGCACAGCATTTGGCCATATAATTAATATGCTCTCAATTATTGGTCACTATAGTCCAGCCCTTTACAACTAGGAGAGAGAGAGAGAGAGAGAGAGAGAGAGGAGACATGGTGGGTGACTACATAATCTGAAGACCCACGCTCTGTCCCCACTCCACTGAACGACGGCTGAAGTCCTCGGTCCTCGCCGCATGGGATTCTGCGTTCTCCTTGCGCAAGGATGATGAGAGACAGAGGACATCAGCTGAAGAGCTACCGATCTCCCCTCACATAGTCACACGGAGCTTTTCCTGCACCCTAAAGAACGAGTTGCCTCGACGAACGGGAGGTGTTGGCGACTAACGTAAGCCATTGCGTAACTCGGGCTGATTTCTTTTATTCCAGAAGAAAAAGAAAAGGGAAAAAGAAAGGGAAAAGAGTTCCTCTCATAGTCTCTCTCTCCAAAAAAGAAAGAAGAATCACGTTCTTCTGCGGATTTCTGAGCCACCTGCCCATATGGTTCCGCTATGCTTCAGTGGTTTTGCCTACGCACAGCGCTCGCTGTTGCTTTTCTTCTTTACTATGCAGCGTGTCGTGTGGTGTATATGGTTGGTCCTC